ATTAATTGTTTACTAGAATCAAATTGATTCATTGGTTAGTAATTACTTTTCATAACACAATATAACGCACAAACACTTGATATGAGATACAATGCATAAGAGATTACACTATGACTGATATGTGTTCACTGAATGTGAGAACAAATAATTACAAAATGTCGCCTCAATGACAACAATGTACACAATAAAATAAATGCTCAATAAGGCCTACGCGCGATACATATACACTGACTAATGTTTGTACACTAAATGTGAGAACACTTACTAAACAATGCTGCCATGATGCATACAACGTATACAATAAAATATACATCTAATTAGTCCTGCGCGCCTTTACATGTACACACTGTTAACGCTGTTAATGCTGTTTTGTTTACATAGTAAAATGCTGCCGCTATGCACACAACGTATACAATAATGATTAGTACTGTTTAGCCTATGAACAAAAACTCGCGTATTGCGCACAGTGGCAGCATTTTATATTAAATCATGTTTTAATCATACTTACAATTAACTTATTTTATTGAAAACTTCTAAATATTTAAAACTTGTTACTTTAGACAAATATCTGAAATGTTTTTTAGCTGGTGTTTGTTGTTGATTTTAAAATAATTATTTAACCCTACATTCATAAAAATGCTGCCACGATGCAGGTTAAGGGTTAAATAAGTTGATATCAAATTGAGAGAAATTCATATTTCATCATAATGTCTATACACTTAACTTATATTTAAGAATAACATGTTTTATGTTCAAAATAATATTGACTTAAAATGTCTGAAATATTTTTAATTATATTTATTAACGATTTTTTGTATATTTATTCTTTGAAATTCATATATGTAATTGTATTACGTATTTATCGACATAATTAAAGTTTAGATTTTTATTTAAATATAATTTTTAAATGTTTTAAAGTTTCCAAAATTACTGTGTGTTTATATGGGATTGTAATCTGTTTTATTGTACCCGTCATAATGGGATTTAATTAAACTAATAATTATATTAAATATAACTTATTTTCACATATATTTTCAATAATAAGGCATTTTGTTTTTTAATTAATATTTTAGTATTGATTTTTCAAACGAAAACATGATATTTATCATTATTTGCTGCATTTTAAGGTAATATTTAAAAATATTTAACTACCTTCTCAAATATTGATTTAATGTAATTATGTATTTTAGACGTTTTTAATAAAGTGTAGTGAGTTTGAGTATGGGTTGCTGTATTTGTTTACCCATTAAATTAAATTTAAATTTAAATATTACATATATTTACTGTATTTAGATTGTCAGCAACTTATTTATATGCCAAAATAATATACTATTATTAATATTAAATAACATTATTAATAATAATTTATTATTTTAAAATAATAACAAAAAAATGAAAATGGTTAAATCAGGCTAAACTGGTATTTTAAATGCCGCATTTATAAGTACCAAATAAAAGTACACTTTGTTGATTAATTCATAAGCATGTTGGTAATAAACATAATTAATTATAATTATAAAGGCAAATACCGAGAATCGTTTACTTTTACCTGAAAACAAGTTTAATCGTAATTAATATAAATTAAATGTTTGTACAGAACGTACCAAATATTTTATGTCTATATTCTTACAGTGTTTTGGTTCACAGATATATAAATCATTTTACATTTATAGATACTGTTGGACATCCTATCAGGCGATACCGGATTAATTTACGACCACAATCATTTGCCGATTCGCAATCAACCCCCTATTCCTTTCCCTTTTAATCTTACACATTTTGTTGCCAACCACTATTCCCATTGACCTTAACACCTAGTTAATATTTATTTGTAATTAGTAATCGCTAATAAGCAAGTTAAGAAAATCTTTAATAATATATTAATTTTTATATTTTATGATTTAATTATTTAAAATTGTTTTTCATAACAAATATTTACAAATTTATATGAATTTTCTGGAAAACAATAAAGCAATAAAAACATTGTTACAAATAATACGCTGATAACGAGAAATACACACAAAAACTTATATAATAAGACCATTTCTGTCAAAACACTTTTTATTAATCCATAGATATATGGTTTAGACAGAACTCCACTATTCCTATACTCTATTAGTTATGCATTTATTTATTATTAGTACACTATTCGCAGTGCCTATAGTGTACGGCAACGATATATCTGGTAAATTAATTCGCAATTATTATTATTAATGAATTATAACTATTATAAAGCTTTAATATAAACTAGTTAAATATTGTTGATTAAATCTAGATTTCCGGTGCGGCGATTGGCAGCTATTGGGCGGACAAAAGTGTTACAAAGTATTAGAGGGACCGGCGGTGAGTGAGGCGGAGGCGGTGGCCGCATGTGTGGGCGCCGACGAGCCCCCACCGGAGGCGTCGAAAGCTGGCAAAGGGGTCGTTGACGAAGACACGGATACACCGGCCATCTATCAGTCAACACTACTTACCATCAAATCGCGTACACAACACGACTATGTGTTGGACTACTTGCGAAACGTGGTAAAACTCAAGGGACAGGTATGGCTGGGCGCCGGCAGGAATTCGGGCTCCGGTAGGTTCGAGTGGTCGGACGGAACTGGCATTCTCTACAACCGGTGGGCAGAGAATCGGCCCTCCAATGAGGGCAAAGCCGATTGCGTTCAATTGGACCCAAAGTCGGGCAACTGGACAGATGTCCGGTGCGATCGCACCGCTCGGGTGGTGTGCGAGAGGACACAGTTCTGGACATTTCCAGACCTCCAGCGTTCGTACTTTGACTTACGACAAGTGTTGGAGTTCAGGGCCGACGAGTTGACCGATCAGTTGGGGGCGCACGAGGAGGTGCTCCGGGCGCTGGACGACCGCCTCTACACACTCGACGAACGGGTGAAAAGCCTTAAATCGCAGCTAGATCAGTTTAGGACAGATTTTGGTGGGTATGTCAACGAAAGCCTGTCCCGAGTGGTGGCCAATCACCAGACACTGGCCACACAAGTCAACACAATTGGCCAGACGGCCGACCGGTTGGGCGAAGCCGTGTATCAGTTGCATAAAGAGTGTTCAGAGGGCTGTTCGGGAGGTGGAGGGGGCGGCGATTTAGAGGCCCTGCGTCGGGAGCTGTTGGCCGAGATTGAGAGCAGATATAGCCAATTGGACACCGACCTGAAGGGTGTTGTGGCCGACGCCCAGATCACGCGCACCCGTCAGTTGCAGATCAAGCAAAATAATAAGTGGAAAACTTTGGGTTACGTTCACTAACTGTAATCGTTGTATCCTATTATTTATAAGCAAATAAATTATATTTATATTATGGCAATGATTTTCCCATGTTAATTGTAATGGATTTATTGCACCTACCCCTCCGCCAGTGTTCGTTAACGTTGATGTTTATATTGTTTGATTTATTATATCGCTTTAATAGCTCTGATTTCTATTGTGAAACACTTTGTGTATTTGTTGTAAAATACTTTAACTCGTTTTTGTGGAATAGTTTATTACTTAATGAATGTTATTAATTAATAAATATGGTGATTCGCAGATTAATATATACCCCTTATAATAGTAACGACATAAATAGAGAGAGAGAGAGAGAGAGAGAGAGAGAGAGAGAAATTAATGTTGACTTCCACAAAATAATATGAATAAACTGATTGACAAAGCAATAACCTAGAAGTTAAGATAAATTATTTAGTTAGTTCTATAAACTTATAAAACAGATATTATATTAGCATCAGTAAAGTAATAATTAAAATTTAACTAGATATAAATGTATTTATTTATTTGCACACTTACTTCATAACCACGTACATTTATATTTGTAACTCATTTATAATAAATAATGTCCAACAATAAAACCCAATCTCATTTTTGCCAATTCGCTCAATGAATACTGTAGGTAATAGGTAATAATTTTTAAATACCTTATGTTTTATTCGCAAACTCATGCTAGAATTATTTGCATACAATGAATTTAATAAAATGTATGTAAATTTAGTCTCATTATAAAGAACCGATGATATGTAAATCCATATAAACATTGAAAACAATACGGTAATAAAAGTGGAAATGAAAAATGCCCGGATTATTACACTTTCATAATTACCAAACATAATACAATAAGCTAGAGTACTGACATTTACAGTATTGCCATTCCATGTAAATAACATTGATTTACACCAGTAATTATTGTTATATTCAGCTATTTCCATGTATATCATGGTCAATTTGTCAATTAATTTTTCAACGTCAAGCCCATGATCAATTTTGTTAGGTTGATTTAAAAATAGTTTGAATGATTTGTTTACAATGTTAATATTATGTGTTAAATAGTAGGCAATTACATAATAACAAACTAATTGATAGATGATAATATTACAAATATAGTAACAAGCTAAATCAGTGTATAGTGCTAATGGTATACCAATTAAAATAAAATTAGCTAGATCGAATTCTTGCCAATAGAGCACCATTAAGAATAAGTGTAAAAATAACACAGAATTAATGATAGCTATGTTACCGATCCTGTGGAAATTCTTGAATATTTTGCACATTTTATATACAGTTTGTCTGTCAGTAATGCCCAGAGTTTTTGGGGCTATTTTGCCCGAAATCATGGCA